TTCTTTCTCAAGATTGTTTTGGTCCTTTGTGCTTCCATATGACTTTTAGGATTGACTTTTCTATTTTTGTAAAAAAACATCATTGGGATTTTTGAATATATTGATTGCTTTGGGTAATATGATCATTTTAACAATATTAAATCTTCCAATCCACGAACACAGGATTTTTCATTTATTTGCGTCTTCTTTAATTTCTCTCATCAATGTAACATAGTTCACTACATGCGTTTCACTTCCTTATTAAATTTATTCCTAAGTATTTTATTCTTTTTGATGCTATTGTAAATGAGATTGTTAATTTCCTTTTCAAGTAGTTCATTGTTACCATATAGAAATGAAACTGATTTCTGCATGTTGATTTTGTAACTTTACTGAATTCANGGGTTGCGATCCGTTGCCGGACACGAAAAAAGACAAAAAGGAAAAAAAAAAAAAAAAGAGTTTTTTACATAAAAGACTCTTGAATTTTGTGAAATGTTTTTTGTGCATATTTAGAGATGATCATGTGATATTTACCCTTCATTCTGTTGATGTGGTTTATCACATTGATTTGCATATGTTAAACCATCCTTGCATCCCAAGGATAAATCCCACTTGGTCATGATGCATAAGCCATGGTGTTTAATGTGCTGTTGAATTTGATTTGCTCATATTTTGTTGAGGATTTTGCACCTATATTTCATCAGGAATATTGCCTTCGAGTTTTCTTTTCTTGTAATGTCTTTGGTATCAGGGTAATGCTGGCCTCATAAAATAAGTTTGAAAGTGTTTTTTTTTTTTTTTTTCTTTAAAGTTTCAGAAGGATTGGCATTAATCATTAAATGTTAGGTGGAATTCACCAGTGAAGCCTTCTCATCCTGGGCTTTTCTTTGTTGGGAAGTATTTGATTACTGACTCAATCTCCTTACTAGTTATAGGTCTGTTTAGATTTTCTATTATTTCTTCATGATTCAGTCTTGGTAGAACATATGTTTTCAGGAATTTATCCCTTTCTTCTAGGTTATCCAATTTGCTGGCAAATACTTGTTCACAGTAGTCTTTTATTATTCTTTATATTTCGGTGGCTTCAGTTGTAGTATCTCTTTTGAGTCTTCTATTTTTTTCTTAGTCTAGCTAAAGGTTTGTCAGTTTTATCTTTAAAAAAAACAATTCTTAGTTTCTTTTTTTATTGTTTTTCTTTTCTTTTATTTCTGCTCTAATTTTTATTATTTTCTCCATTCTAACTTTGGGTTTAAGTTGTTCTTTTTCTAGTTCACTGAGGTATGTATTAGTTCATTTTCTGTTGCTTACAACAGAATACCTGAAACTAGATAATTTATGAGAAAATGAAATTTATTTCTAGCAGTTTCAGAAGCTGTGAAGTCCAGTCCATCGGGCACATCTGGTGATGCCCTTCTTCTAAGTGAGAACTCTCTACAGGATCCCTTGATGACTCAGGGTGTC